ACTCTCCTTATGATCAATAAAATCTTACTCCAATAGACATATTTATTTAAGAACACGGATAAAATTTCTCTAAAACTCTATTGATCCTTAATTTAACAAGTAAAGTACTGTTCTAAATGAGTATTACTAAGTTTTAATTAACTATTAAATGAGTAATGGTGTTTGATTTGAAGATTCTAGCATACCATTGGCTCCTTGTCTGATAATCTTGGAAGTATTATTTTCTACCTACTCTTTGATGCATAAAAAAGCATTTGATTATAACTTCATAAGCTTCTTTTTTTTACTTGCTTAGCTGAATTTGAATCTTAGCCAAGAGACTATTAGTTCATATTTCCGTTTTTATCTGGTTTAAACAATTGATTTATGAAGTAATGGGTTAAACTTGATTAATTAAACATGATTTGTAAATTAGTAGAAATTTCTTGACACCAAATTTGATTATGATGTTAGAAAAATAGAATTGAATCAAATCACGGTCAAGAAAGTGAGTCACCAATATCGTTCAACCCATCAAATGTGTTTTCAAGAAAGATGGACTTCAAATGACCTTAATTACAAGCAGTCTCCTCCACATTTTTTAATCCAAGGTCCAAACGATCAAACCTTTGTGACAAATAGATGGGCCCTTACTATATTTGATGGGCCAAACTTTAATTGATAAAAGATGTAATACACTAATATACATCAAATGAGTGTTGTTTTTGAAGCAGAGGGAGTGGGAATTAGAGGTGGTGGTGGTGGTGGCGGCAACGGCAAGCATCACCATGACCACCACCGGTGGAGTTCTCATGAAACTTCGTTTTCACTAATGTCATTATTTTTTAAAATCTAACAACAAATGGGTAAAATACAATATTATTTTTTTTAAAAAAAATTTGCATCAAAATATTGTAGGTCATTCATCTAAACCATTGAATATAATAATAATAAATTTGATGGACAAATTTCACTTGATCACGATTAACCATTTGAGAGATTGGTGCACATTAGTTACCGTCCACTAATTAACAAAAATAGTATAATGGGTGTTAAAGATATGCTGTTATTTTATGCAAACAGAAAACTATGAAAAGATTGTATAACTAGAAATTAGGGATTTCTTTTTTTTATTTGTATATTAAATTGTAGCATTATTTAATTATAAATAAAGAATTATATGTGTGAGTAAAACACATTTCAGTAAACATATATTTTATTATTGACTTTTGTCAACTTCAATGGTCGATGAACAAACATGTTCACTGAACTTCTCAAGATTTCGTATAACATGTATGCTCCATCTTATGTTAAAGATATGCTTTTATTCTTTGTAGATAGAATATGATAAACAAGACATGTATAGTTAGAAATTAGATAATTCATTCATTATTTGTATTCTTAATTGTACTTTTCTTTGATTATAAATAAAACACCGTATGTGTAAGTAAGATGCACATTTCAATAAATTATATATTGGAAATAAACTAAAATTCATTTTTTTAATCAAATAGATTTGATGCATGCTAGTGAAAGACCACGGACGTTATGAAGTTTGAAATTAAAATGTTCTTTGTTGAAGTACAATTTTTTGTGTGAATATTAATGCAAAGTTGTTATTCCAAGAAAAAAATCATTTCAATGCTCCAAATCTAATAATTTTTTTCTAATAAGAGCACTCTTATTTTTTTTTTGTTGTTGATTTTTTTTATAAGAAGATATAACTTCTTTTCATCAAGTCTTATAAGGATAAAATGATTAAAATCTAGTCCTTAAATAAAGAATATAAGTATCAAATTACTTAAGCTAATAACTTTTGATATATTTTTATTGTTATGAATGCATATAAATAATTTATCTATATTACTTTTATTTAATTTATTTTATCATATACGATTTTGAGACTCTAATGTTATCATAGGATAATTCATAAAAAATATTTAAAATACTTAATTGAAGAAATATTTTTAAGATAATTCTTCAAGAATGTTTGATAGGAATATTTTTGTTGTTTTGTCTTTATTGCCTCAAACAATCTCACTTATTTTTATCTACTCGTTAATCAATTTATTTAAAGGAATAAAATGAGTCAAAGACTAAATTAGTAAAAAAGTGTTTTGTTCAACATAGAGGAAAAAATAAAGCTAAAAATATATTTTATTTTAACTAAAAAAAAGGGGCAATGTAAAAATTTTTCACGACTCAAATGAACTCCTTTTAATTCCATGAAGATATTCTTAATGCTTATACGAGTCTTTATATGATTTCATAAATGTAGGTCTATTAATGTTTTTCAAAGTCACTCGGCCTCAACCAAAGCTAAGGACTTGTTGAGTATGGGATAAATGCAAAAAAAGTACTGATGTTAGCACTTATTTCAAGTACTCTCAAATTAGGCAAAAGGCCTTAATAAATGCCAACTATTTTGATAAAACTATGAAGGGTTTAATTAGAAACTATAAAAAAATTGCTATATTAAAAAATTTGAATAGGAGACAAACATCAAGGGTGGTCAAGAGGTAGTTGTACATGTAGAAGTACAACTCTTACAAGGAGGTTGAATAAATGTCATAAATATTGTCAAATTATACTTGAACATCTTTGTGAAGTGATTCTCGTTCAATTAGGAAAGACAAGGCCTTTATGTTTCTTCAAATATTATTATGAATAACTTCATTCATCATTTCTTATGGAAATCCAGTGCAATCTAGTGTCTCTTAAATTGTGTCTTTTCCTTTAGAACTTGAGCTTGTCATATTTGAAAAATCAAAATTTGCAAGGATTAAGGAAAAGTTAGATTCTAAACCAAAAAATAGAAAACAAAAAATATTGCAAGTTTTTTGAGGTTCAAAGACATCACAATTTTTCTATTTTGTGTGGTTGAGTTAAAGAAAATGTTGAGCTTCAAATATCTCCACAATGTTGTCATTCCTTTCCTTCTTCTTAAACAAAAACACAACTTGATATTATTTTGTATCTCCATATGCTTTATTGGGCCAATAATTCATTTGAAGTCTACTAAAATCATTTTATCATATAATATGTAATGCTTTTTACACCATTAATTAGATAATCAAAGTCACTCTACTTATACCACTCATGCTAAGAGGTTATAGATATTAAGTGGTTAAAGAATTCATGTTATGCTGAATTTACTCTATGAAGTGTGCTCGTATGTTAGAATTGTGACTCATTTGCACTTGGTCATATAAAAAGGACATTTCCCACATCACTAGATAGACCCTTTTCATGTATTGTCACTATACCAATTCACATACTAATTGGAGTGTCAGTAAGAGGATATTTGCTTTTAGTAATTTTCGCTTACTTGTAAGGCAAACTTTTATCCTTTTCATAATTAGAAATAACATAATTTTCTTTAAATATAAAAGTTTAGTTAAATCAAAATTAAAATTACATTGAATCAATTATTTTACTATATTACATGCTAAAAGTGTAACAAAAAATTATTACATGCTAAGAGTAAATTTAGTACTTAATTAATGGTTTAAGACTCGTTAGAAAGAAATTATAAACAACTTATTTTAATATATTTTATGTTGTAAGAGTGTATTTTTAAAAGTTTTTTCTTCCCAACTCTAGTTTTTTAAAAGGTCATAGTAATATTTTAATCTTTCAAATAATTAATATGCTAATATGATATTATTTAGTTAATATATTAACTACTTAATTATATTTTAATTTTTCAATCATGATTTGTTTTTTTTTTTAAAATAAAAATAATATCTTATTAGTACTTATGTAACAATACTTTTTTTTATAACAAATGTAACAATGTATGTAAGTACTTGAAAATTGTACACGTAATTATCAATATTATGTATAAGCATAAATAATTTATTAAGTTTAAAGCAGTAATAATATATACTCTAAAAAATTACTAAAAAAAATAAGTTTTTTTTTCTCTTTCAAATACGCTCTTAATTTTATAACATTAACAATGTTCTTATGTTATTAATGCATGAGATCAAACAAGATTTGAATTCATCATTTTTTTATTAGTTGATGTATTTTAATGATTTATTTTTATTTTATCTTTAGAATGACATTTATGTTAATAATATATGATTTAATTATTCATTTTCTTCATGAATTCTTACATTTATTTTTATTTTATGTTTTAGTTCTTATATAAATATTATTTTCTTTATAATTTTGTTTTTGTCATTATATTTATTTTTTCTTTTTTTGCTTTTCCACCTTTAATTTGAATAAAAATAATCGTTAATTTGTTTTGTAAAATTGACCAAATCACTACTGTCAATCTAATATTAGTGAGTTAGAATAATATGTGCAAAATTTTAGGTTTAATTTTTATTATTGTGTAGTATTTTTATTGATAAAAAAATCAAAATTAGTAATATAAAATGGGTAAGACAATAATACAAATTATTACATGATATAAAAAATTGTCAAGACGATTTTGTATAGCCCAATTTTGATTTTGTGACAAATTTAGATAACTTGGAACTAATGAATTAACTTGGTAACAAATGACATGATGTAAAACATAAAAAGAATTTCTAATATAGAAACCAAAACATGCAATTTCAAAATATAGAAACTAAAATACAAAGCATAGAGAAATGTAAAAAACAAATGAGTAGTTCATCTTTTTATTTTTTTTTATTTTTTTTATTTTTTTAAGTCAAGCAAGTAAACATAATATAATAGTATAAAAATAAAATTATTTGTTTTTATTATTATTTTTTATTTTTGTTATACCATGACATTAACTAAAACTGAAACCTCATGTGAACTACCAAAATATTTTTACTAAGTTAACCCTTATAAAATATTTTGCATTAAAATTATTGTTATTTTTTGCAAATCATGTAAGATATTACACCCAAAAAAAAAAAAGAGTCATACATAAGAAATTATTTTTCATTTCGTTACATAAAATTTAATGTCTATATTCTATAATAAAATAATAAGTCATTACATAAATGAAAAAACGAAGGTTATGGTATTTTAGAAATTTAGTTTTTGTATTTTGAAAATAATTTATTTTTCTAGGGTCTGGTCTTCGCTTCTGCCTTAGGCTGCGCAGTGTTTGAACGTGGAATTGAAGGAGTTTAAAGGCAAAGAGAGGTTCGCACCGTAGAATCGATTCGAAATTCATTCTGATAGCGTCACTCTCCGATCTCCAAATTCTCAACAACTATGGTGAGAGGATTGCTCAACAAGCTCGTCTCTCGCTCCCTCTCCGTCGCCGGAAAGTGGCAGCACAACCAGCTCCGCCGCCTCAACATCCATGAGTACCAGGTCTCTCTGCGTTCCCCACTCTTGTTCTTATCATTGCAATTTACGAATCAATTCCAATTTTCGCGGAATCTGTTGATTCATTTCGCTCTTCCATTGGTGTATTTCTTTTCAATAATAGTAATAATAAATCATTTTTGTGGATGACAAATCTGGAGTTCCTTGAATGTATATTTTGTGGAACCGTGGATGTTTATTTGTCGAAAATCTTTTGATTCAGTTGATTGACGAGCGTTGATTATGGAAACCAGGGCGCCGAATTGATGAACAAACACGGAATCAACGTTCCGAGAGGCGTAGATGTTTCCTCTGTTTAAGAGGTCAGAAAGGCCATCAAGGACGTTTTCCCTAACGAGAAAGAGGTAATTTATTTCGTAACTTGATGTTCACAAAAAGCACCAAGAAGTGGATTTTAGAATTGTAAGGTGCGTTGTGTTTGTTTCCTTTAATTCCTCTGCAGTCAATGCCTCTGATTCTTCTTTGTCTATAATAATAATAATAATAATAAATCGTTTTTGTGGATGACGAATCTGGAGTTCCTTGAATGTATATTTTGTGAAACCGTGGATGTTTTTTTGTCGAATCTCTTTTGATTCGGTTGATTGACGAGCGTTGATTATGGAAACCAGGGCGCCGAATTGATGAACAAACACGGAATCAACGTTCCGAGAGGCGTAGCTGTTTCCTCTGTTGAAGAGGTCAGAAAGGCCATCAAGGATGTCTTCCCTAACGAGAAAGAGGTAATTTATTTCGTAACGTGTTGTTCACGAAAAGCACCAAGAAGTGGATTTTAGAATTGTACGGTGCGTTGTGTTTGTTTCCATTAATTCCGTGTGTAACAAATGGAAACCCTAGTTCTGCGGTTTTCTCCTCCAGAAACATTATCAAATGTCATGGTACACGATATTGCATGTGAGTATGTGACTGTGATGACTAATAGTGTAACTGGGATTATTGTGCAGTTGGTGGTTAAGAGTCAAATTTTAGCCGGTGGACGAGGTTTGGGCACTTTTAAGAGTGGTCTTCAGGGAGGAGTGCACATTGTTAAGACTGAACAGGTTGAAGACATAGCCGGTAATGCATTTCTCCTCCTTCATTCCGCATATTGGAGATTTCCTTGTTCTCATTTTATGTCCTTGGCCTTCAATACAACACTCTCTACTATAATGTCAAGCTCATATGTATTGATTTATTCAATTGAATTCATAGAGGATATAATACTCTACAATCTAATTTCCAGTTATGTTTTTTCTTAGCTCTATTATTATTTCGTTGTTGTTATTGTTGTTATTATTATTTCAGGGAAGATGCTTGGACAGATACTAGTTACCAAACAGACCGGTCCTCAGGGAAAAATAGTTGGCAAGGTTTGAAATTATTCAATCATTATATATGAAAATATGTTAGCAATTTCAGTATGCATGTGTATGCCCGGAATTTTCATTTATAGAAATTTATACCTTGGTGAAGCAATGTAATGATATCAACCTTCACAGATATATTATGCTAGAGTAGTTATTGTTTGTTTTCTTTTTGGAAAAATTTCCCACTTTTTTAGCCCCCATGGGTCTTGTTTTTTATGTGTAATATATTCAGAGCATAAATTGATTCTTCCAAGTGTTACTTGGTAGTTATTTTTTTTGGACTGACCCTGCTGGCTGAACTACTAAAGTGGCAACCAAACCATTCTGGTTTTATGTAGATTGACTTCAACACATGAACTGGAGTAGCCTGGCAGTTAAACTGATGAACCTGTGTGAATAGAGTCCTTGGACTGGTCAACTGAACATTCATTATTTCAAAAGATTTCCTATCAATTGTTATTTAATTTAAATTATAAACTAATAACCATTTGTGCTTACTATTTGTTCCATTGGATTCTAAGCTCTTGTTGTATTTGATAATGGAAGTAAATTTCATGTCAATGTCATATTGGATACACAATGACAGCTGCTACTCTATTTTAAAACTGGATACACAATGACAGCTGCTACTCTGTCTTATTTTGGGTTTCATTCAATTCATTTATATAGAAATGTTCACAAAAGGGTGTTGGTTGTTTAATATTGAATTGTCCATTTTATACAGGTTTACTTGTGCCAAAAGTTGTCACTTGTAAATGAGATGTACTTTGCTATAACACTGGATCGTACAAGTGCTGGTCCAGTAAGTTTCCTATTTCATTATGTTATCTTTTGATTTTCTTTATGGTTTCTTTAATAACCAATAAGAAGTCATGTTGCTTACTGCAATTCTTTTCTTTTTCTGGTTTTGCTTTTGCAGATTATTATTGCTTGTAGAAAGGGAGGAACCAGCATTGAAGACCTTGCAGAGAAATTTCCAGACATGATTGCTAAGGTTTGTTATCTTTGGCATTTCTCATGGTGGTTTAATTTTTTCATTTGAGCAGTCTTCTTTGCAAGAGACACCTGATGCATTCTTTCTTTCTAGTAGGTACCTATTGATGTTTTTGAAGGAATCACTGATGAAGATGCTGCGAAGGTTGTTGATGGTTTGGCTCCCAAAGTGGCAGATAGAAATAAGTCGATTGAACAAGTGAAGAATTTGTATAAACTTTTTGTTGATTGTGACTGCACGCTTTTGGAAGTAAGCATATGCAAGTTTCAGTTTATACAAGTTTATTTTATGAAGAATGTCTATAATGAAAATTGATTATTTTTAACAGATCAATCCCATAGCAGAGACAGCTGATAACCAATTGGTGGCTGCTGATGCTAAGTTGAATTTTGACGATAATGCTGCATATCGTCAGAAAGAGATATTTGCTCTTCGTGATACAACACAAGAGGACCCTCGAGAGGTTTACTTCCTTTTTTGTTTGCGTTTTCCCTTACATGGAAATGTAGCATATGAACCCTAAATCCACTCCATCTTTGCCACTTGAGCCCATGGGGATTCAACCCGGCTCAAAGCTAATTGGGATGTCTTGGGTTCTAAAAATTAGGCATAGTGTGTTTCTTTGGTTAGATTCCAGACATATTTTGGGTAATCCCAGCTTGGCATGTTGCCACAAAGTATTATAAAGCATTTTTTTGTAATAAGTAATAAATAATAAAATGTTTGACTTAAAGTAATACCTTTTACTTAACATGATAATATATTTATATTGATATGCTATGTTTCATTATATTTATGTAACAGCAACATGCATAATATTCAACTTTTTCTGTTTTGTCTAAATAGGTTGGTCTTAATTGGGATGGGTTCAGGCCCAAAAATTGGCCAGACCAATCTATTGGCAATGCCAAATTTCATATGATCTACTTGTGCCTGATTATTAAAGCCTTATATCCTTGAATATTCTGCTTATACTGGCTGTGTAACATTATTTGTGCCTTTATCTTTGAACAGGTGATTGCTGCAAAGGCAGATTTAAATTATATTGGATTAGATGGAGAAATTGGCTGCATGGTGAATGGAGCAGGGTTAGCAATGGCCACAATGGATATAATTAAACTGCACGGGGGTACTCCTGCCAATTTTCTGGATGTAGGTGGGAATGCCTCTGAAGGCCAGGTAATGTTTTAAAGTTGGAGTTGCTCCCATTGTGGCATTGCTCTTATGCGTTCCTTTATCAGATTAATTTGTAATCTGCTGGTGCATTAACCCGGACTTTACTCCAAAAAATTATATAAAAAGCATTGTTTATTTGTGTTGCTAGATTACCTACAATGATCGCCATCTTATGGTGTTTTGTTCATATTTAATGCAATTATGTAAATCAGGTGATTGAGGCATTTAAAATATTGACCGCTGATGACAAAGTGAAGGCAATTTTGGTTAACATTTTTGGTGGTATAATGAAGTGTGATGTTATTGCAAGTGGAATAGTGAATGCTGCAAAAGAGGTTAGTAAAGTTTTCTTCCTTTGTCCTACCATATGATTTTGACAACGAAGAGGATATTATCTGTGCAGATTAACTTTTTAATTTTATTCTTATTAGCATTTTTTGACAAATGTTTTATTTGGGCCTATTTGATATTTAAAAAGACTAAGTTGAAGTCAAGAAAATGTTAAATTTTTATTTTTTTGTCTTGTAAGATTTCAATTTGTCTAAGGATGTTGATGTAAATTGTTAATAGTTGCAATTTTTGAAATAAAACTAGATATAAGGAGCTAAAATCATTGTTCAGTCCTTTTTTTTTCCCTTCTTTTTTAATTGAAAAAAATAGGGATTGAACATAATATCTATTTTATCTGATATTATATATAGCGTTAACTTTTCTTGCCATTCATTGTATTCAAGGTTGCACTGAAAGTACCGGTAATAGTTCGTCTGGAAGGCACCAATGTTGATCAAGGAAAAAGAATACTGAAGGTAAATCGTTAGATTTATTAATATATTCCTTTAGAAAACAAAGCAAGAATGTTTGAAATGTCTGCTATGTTTTTGATAATCAATGGTTCAACAGGAAAGTGGTATGGCATTAATAACGGCCGAAGATTTAGATGATGCTGCTCAGAAAGCTGTGAAAGCAGCTTACAAATGAAGGGATACTTCTACTCATTTTAAGAATTCGGTTTAGTTGCAACATTATTTTTTGCGTTAAAACATATTGACGAGAAAAGGATTGATGCGAGAAGAAGTCTTGTTGAAGCTGCAGTGCTTATCAAAGCGTTTCCAATAAATTATTGATTCCCAAGTTGTAGTTCATTTGGGTTGATGAACGGGATTGCAGTTTGGCTTCTCTCTCGCAATTCAGAATATTGGTCCCTTCCTTTCTGACTTTTCCTGGTTGAATTCTGTTCTTTATGCAAATAACATGGAAATACTTGTTTTTTCTGTTAGACACGGTGGTTCATTAAGTGGCCAAAACCTGCTTTTTGATTGAGGTAATTCAATTTTGAATGTTTAATGATTCTGTTGATTGGAAAAAGTGATTAAGCACTAGTGCCACCATTAAATACCTTTCAACATACAGTCTTCCGAGGAGAAAGAACATCCAATATAAGAAGAAAAAAAATAAAATTTAGAGGAGATTATTGAGGTATAAGTGTGAGGAGACAGTTTCACATTAGATAAAAATATACATAACGTACAAATAGAAAATAGTAACTACAAACTTCATATATTAAATTTTTGAATTGAACTTATTATCAGTATCTTATGTTTTAGCTCATGACAAAATAATAAATATTTCCTTTAGCTCATGTGACCTAATAAAAAAAAAATCTTCTCAATATTTTACTGTTCTAATATCCCTAATAGTTTTATTTAACCTTTTTAGGTGGAATTAACTACACAACCCGTTAAAGTTGATGTCTAGTTCTATTAAATTTTTAAATGGCACTAAATATAATATAAATGTTCGCTATTCAAACACATTTATTAAAACGCATTTGCACTATTCAAAGTTGAAACACGTATATAAGTATTGGATTAGTGAGTGCAAAGTCTTTTAAATGAAAGGTCTGCCACTCTCGATGTATAAAAAAAGGCGTGCCATTAAAATTATTAAATTATCATATCTGAATTTTGGGGGTTTTATAGAATCGTGGAAGAATAAACCAAACTCTATTTTATTTTCTCCTTTTTAAGATTGTTGATGTTTGTAGATTATGCTAGACTTGAACTAATTTGAGTTAAACAATCACAAATTACATTTAAAATAATAAGGGTGGGTAAAAAATTAATTTCCTATAAATCTTCACTACTTCGGAAGAGATGAAAATAAAGAGAAAGAAAGAATATAAAATATGCATGTACATTTTTCTCCTTAAACATGGGAAGAAGTTCGGGAATAGATGAGACTTTTTTTTTAATATGTAATTAAAAAATCCATCTAAATTTATTATTTTAAGAGTTTAAATATGTTTAATATAATTATTATTTTTTAATTTTTGTATGCAACCTAATAAATGAAAAAGAGTTCCATAAACTTTTTTTTTTGGGTTAATTTAAACAATAAAAAATTACTTATTTTCTACTCATTTCTATTCTTTCCACTCAACTCCTTTCTTTTTACTATTCAAATATAATAAATTAAAGAAGACCCATTGCTAACACTGTGTGATAATGATGAAATAAATGAAGGAAAAAGAAGTCTGAAAAAGTGTAGAGAATATGTAGGAAATAAAAGTTGTTTGATAAATGAGAAACAGAAGAAAAAAAATATACAGTGGAAGTTAATTTTTTTATAGATACTTTTATTTAAAATAATAAATAAGATGATAATTAAATATAGAAGTTGAGAATTAAAGAAAAAAATATAAATATAATAAGTAATATGATACGATAAAAAGAGACATATAAAGAAAAAATGAAAGATAGATGTCAATTGATTGCATGCATCAAGTGTCCATATATCTCATTACGTTACTCATAAGAAAATGATGGACTAAGTGAAAGAACATTCAATATTATTTTTAAATGTTGTTAGGCATACAAAATTCCATTATAAATCTTCACTAACATTGATAGTATTCCTTGACCCTGTAAAGGGCATGCCTTCTCCAATATAAACTTTTATTATACTAATTTTTTTTCCTATTTGAATTACACTTTCATGTGCTAAATATTGTTTAAATTCTTTAAATATTTTATTAGTTCGAAAAGAATTAGTTTTCGGTCATTGGTGAGAGGATATCTCGGTAGAAAAAAAGAATGTACATAGAAAAACAATAATTCATGAGATATGATTGTATTTAAGGATTATTGTTTTTATTGTGGCATATGTAAGGATAATTGTACAATGGAAATAGCCAATAGGAGCACCAAAGTTATTTTCCTTCCATGAAATTAGGAATGAGCAACATCCAAGGACCTATTTTCCATTCATGTGGACTTCATTCATCCTACAATTGACCTTTTAAAGACTCCCTAAATTTAGCACCTTCAAATTGCATTCCCTTAATTTTCCTTTATATTACTTCTCATTGCCACACCTAAAATTTCGACCACCTTCTGGTTTCGATTGTGTGAGAAAACCAACCAACCAACCAACAATTCAACGAAATTAAAGAGGGACATTCCTTAAACAAAACGTGTTAGTTAGATTCATCCCTTTTCTCACCATTGCAACCTTCATGAAACATTTGTCAAAAACTGTCTTAAGTTTTTGAACCATTGTTATTCTCGTTCCTCGAATGCCAAAAGAATAAAAAAAACCATATTGGCACGCCCCAAGAAGAAACCAAAAATACATACCTCTAATCCTCCACTCATGGGTCCTCTCTGGACCATTTCTTCAGAAGATACACATATTTTTGAATGTTCAATGGAGAAAGTCAATGTTGGGTTCTCATCTTCTGGATTCTAATAAAGGTTAACTCAGTGCAGCTTTGTAAATTGTTGAGCATGTCCGGCAGCAAGGTGAAGGGCATTCTTAAATACATTTCTCAGATATTTGGTGAGTCTCTCCATAATATGCAATTTAATTATTACATTTCTAATACATTTTTGTTAACATACATTATTATTGTTAGAATAATAATGTTCCTTGATTGAGATTTGTGATCTCATATTGATTAATAAAAAACAATAATGATCTATAATAAATCATCTAATTGAATCATTATAAGACCACATTAACATGAAGAAGTGAGTTGAAATTTCCCATCAACAAATAATATAGCCACTATAAATCAATCTTCCCCCTACAAATGAGATTTATAAATTTGAATTAGATTCATAAATCAATTTCGTAAAACATATAACATTATTTTTTGCGTGTTTACATCCCATAATTTATTATATTTCAAACTCTCTTTCTTCGTTTAATTAAAGAAAAATGTGACCTGGCAGATACTGATAAAGAACAAGACATACAGATTGGATATCCGACGGATGTAAAACACGTGGCCCATATAGGGTGGGATGGTCCCTCTGTAAATTCTCCCAGCTGGGTAATTCTCAACATTCTTAATATTTAATCCTTAATATTCGACCTCCTAGAATATACATATTACTTAGTAAACTAAACTAAATGCTTTTGTTTATGCTTATGTTGATTTTCCTTCACGAAATAAAGCCTTTGGGGGGCTTGTTGTGACTGTTTTTCAGATGAACGAGTTTAAAACTTCTCCCTCTCCGGGGTTGCCTGGAGATGTTCAAAATAGAGGACACGACCATACAGCCAAAAGGCACTCCGAAGGTACACATTATTACCCTTATACATGTCCCAAACACACCCTTACTATGAATACAACAAACTTACTAAAAGTACATTCATAAATGTATATTTAAATTAAATTCTTGAAAGAAAAAAAAAAATAATAATGTTGGCATTGATTGAATTTGCATGGCTAAAAATGTTTGATAGATACGAGGAGAAGAACAACTCGGGACTCGCCGGAGTTACCACCCAAGGCATCGAAAAGGCAGTCAACGGGTGGAGTGACGGAGTCTCCGACGAGAGAAAGGTCAAACAAACCGAGGCAACCAAGAAAGTCAAACAGGCCCAAAGACGAATCCAACCCGACCCGAATACCCGTACCCGCAGACCCGTTCCCACCCTCGGCGGTACCCGATATTCCTAAAAAGTCTCGTCGGCAGAAGTCAAAAGAGAGTTCTAGTGGTGGGTCCGCCAAATTGAGATCCAAGGCCCAGCCCAGTCCCGACTCTGGATCTCCGACCCAATCCAAGACTAGGAACAAACCAAGGTCCTTTGAAGAAAATGAAGAGGATATCATTGTATAAAAAATTAAATATCCTATTAGTTAGAGTGCTTGTATAGATAATTCTTGAAACTAGAACACACCACACACAAGGCACAATCTCTTTTTTTCCCCGGATTTTAATATTTCTCTGTCATTTTTCTTAAGTTGGTCATCTTTTTTGTCCTTTTATATAGAGTCTTGTACTATTTACCCACTGCGGATATGTAATTACTAATCAGTGCAACATGTTCATTTTAGTTTTCAGTAGTTTGTAATTGAGGTAAATTACAAGATTTTCATTTTAATAGAAGGATTATACGTATGTGTACTAATTATGTGGAAGGGATGGAAATGCGTTATTTTTGTTTTATCGTAGGAATAAAATGTTGCATATCATATCCATGAACCTGTAACTAATGTTTATGGTAGATAGTTTTGTCTTTTAAATATGTTGATTCTGGTTCAATATTATCGACTATAAATATACGAAAAGAGAAACGCTACAAAGTACAAACGCTATAATAACATAAAGAACAAAGTTATGAACTTGAACAGAAATTACGTACAAAAGCGTGTTCGTGCACTTTCTTCCTAAATTATTGTTACCAATTACTAGCAATTTTCATATGAAAAAAGTTTTATTAGGATCACTTAATCCATTTCGATATTTTCCACACGTTAAAATTAATTAACGTTTTTTTTTTCTTCGTTAAGAAACACACCTGTTGCAGCATAAAAAGTTGCGATTAACAAAGGCAGAGGAAAGTTCAATGATAAACCATGATTTGATGAATTCGAATCTTTTGAAGTGTTTGGAGATTCCATTTTTGTTTAGAGGAAAATGTCAATTGAATTATTAATGGATTGAACCTAGCGAGCCTCGAGCAGCCACTAGTTATGAGTAGCGTAGCCTTGTATCCCACACTACATCATCGTACCAATATTTCGACATTGCTTCTGTCCTGTCACTCTCATTGCCACTCACCAATAATAAACCAGTACAACAGTTAAGAAAACACTAATCCAGACAACATAACGGTTTAACATGTGACTTCCACTTTACACTTGTTAATTAAAAAAGCTTTGCTAGTGATGGCAAAAAACATGTTTCTTTCTTTGGTGGTAAAAAAGAAGTGATTTTCCCCTCCAGGTAAGAGAAAAAACCCTATTCTCTTCACGTAAGAAGAAGCAAGCACCCCGTGAAGACAAAGAAAAAAGCAAGAGAATGAAAAGGCAGCAGAGAAGAAGGCCCACTGAAAAGGACAGCATCAAGAACATGAGTTTTGTCGCATGCCTTCCGTTGACACCTTATTCTGTTATCATCCACACACAGTCCTCTGTTCCCCGCCACCTTCACCTTCACCTTCTTCTTCACCCACAACGCCACTCTCCCACTCAAATTATTGTTCTCCAAGTTTATCTCATCCACAAACTCCAGAAGCCCAAACTCCTCCGGCACAGGCCCATGGAGCCCGTTGTTGTCAAGCCCAAGATAAGACAGTTTCCTCAAATGAACCCCCATGGAAGCAGGAATCCTCCCAACCAAACCCATCTCCGAAAGCCCCAGTTTTTCCACACCCCCAAGAGAGAGGGGGTGGTGGAGGATGTGGGGAGGATTGTGATTGTGATTGTGATTGTGATTGTGAGGAGAAGAGGGAGCATCCTGGTAGGACCCATTTGTTGTTGTTATTGCTTATTGGAATGGAATGTGTTGAGTGAGTGTGGTATTAGTATGAGTTTTAGTATGGTTGTTGTGTTGTACTACTACTAAGTAACAAGGTAGGAGTAGAAGGGGACAGAGGTGCTAACGAAAGACGCGACAATAGTGCGCCGCACTCGCTGACTCGACTTCTTCTGTCACTCTCAAACACACTCATTCCTTTTATTAAATAAATTATTATGTAATCTTCTTTTTTGTCCTACATGTATCACTAGTCCTATCACCCTATTCACCTGATTTTTCATGTCACTGCAGTAGAAATACGTTAATAAACAGAAGCATGGTATAAATGCTGAAAACTACTTTCCACTTGCATGATCAACAATTCAGTTTTTTTCAAGAGTTGCTCACTTTGATTTCCTTTTATTTTATGCCTATGGCCTATGGCCTATGGTTGATTTCACGCTGAATTGTGAATTTAGTCGATTTTGCTCTGCCTGAAATTTAAGATATTTGGCTACAAGCTTATATATACACCAACAATGTAAAAATTATCTAATTAAAAACAACCTTTTTAATAAAATAAGTGATTCGTAAAACTTAGTTTTATTCAATCTTATTAATAATTCATATGATTACAATTTCATTAACCATACATACAATTTTTTAAAATAAATAGTACACGTAGATAATAGTTTTTTTTATATTTTAAATTATCACTTAATTTATAATAAAATTGTAGACTTTTATAATATACGTTTTATGACTAATACTAAAAAAGAATTTTTATCAAGACAAAATTCTTATACAATATGATTTCTATTATTAGTATTATTTTTTAATTAAAAGAGTTTTTATTTTGATAATACATATTGACATTCAATAGGATTCTTTATTACGCATATTTATTGAAAATATAAAAATTATAATACTAACAATACATATTTATTAAATTCAAAATTTTAAAGTTAGTAATTTTTGTTTTGAATATAAACGTTAACTTGTTTTATCTTCTATTTTTTAATGGTTGACTAATATTGTTCTAAAATTTATCATTTGAGAATGCAATGATTTCAATTTTAGTATGTATAATGTATTTAGAAAATAGAAGGGAATTAGTGTAATATTTTTTAACAAATGAAAAGGAGGTTTATATAATGACACAAAATCTATAATGAGGATATTTTTTGTCAATATTATTGAAAAAATAGGAAGAATTTTCTAAAAGCTTTACAAATAAAGGAAGCTTTATATAAAAGAATACAGAACATTCAAGAGGATAGAATAGTTTACTCTATCTAGAATGTAAGATGCACACTATTTTCTTTTAAAAAAATTATAAGTAAAAAAAGAGTACAACGACTGTGAAATCCGAATCTTAATAGTTAATACTCATATACTTATGCAACCCCCCACACAATTTTAAATACAGTTATTATTATTTGTTAAAATTTACAAATTTTTTTTTTATAGATTTTACTTTTTATTTAATAAGTCTCATTTATATATCATAATTTTTTTGATAAATTTTAATTATTAATAAAAAAATGTATTAATAAGATTGTTACAAGTGTATTGCTACAGTATTTTTTAGAATTATGTTTTCACCCCTCCTTAATTTAACCTGTCCCCGAGATTTTGGACTTCTAAGTAATTTATGTCAAAATTTCATACACATGAAAACTATCAATTTACTCCAACTTATTTTTTAAAAAATGTAAGTTAATAAATTACACCTTCAAAAATACTTTAACGAATTCCAAAATTACAACTTACTAATCTTTCATACACACATGAAAGTAATTGGGAACATATTACCAAACACAAGCATGCACAGATATCCAAATCTTTGTTTGCATAACCTCCAATTTGTAATTGTCATCCATCTGTCAGCATTAAAAAAACAAAGAATTGTGTAAGTACACCATCGTTCGAAAATTTAACTTTTTCCCAAGATTAAAAATAAATACAATAATTCTAAATGACTCCTCCTTTTGTATAGTAAATTTAAATACGTTCTATATTTGCATGACATTAAATAAATTTACTTTTTTATTTATAAGATAATAGAATAATTTGTAGAAGAATATAATATTACACAAAAAATCTTGCTTGCTTATAATATAACATGAAAATAATTCTAGAATACGAAAGCCCCCCAACAAATCATCCACCACATAAATAGATTCTGAATTTTGTATCTAAAATTGATGTTTTCTTGTTCTCTAGATCCAACGACATCGATATTGAAGTAGTTTTCAAAGAATAAGATTAAAATTTGATTTTCAAATGATCAACAAGGGCAGAGCAGGGGACTGCTTGCCATCACTAAGAGTTTAAAAAAAAAAAAAAAAAAAAAAAGAGGGAGAGAATAAAAGTAACCAAACAATTGTCTGTTAAAAGAGCAACTGCAACCTCAGAAGATCATGTAACCACAGCTGCCATCATATAGTTACAGAAAATCTATTGTCTTTGTCATGCCTTCTTTGCCTGCATGAACATACAGCAAATACCAAAATTTACATTTCTTGGATGGAAGCAAATTATAAAATGAACACTGAAGCTTTTAACTTATTTAAGTTGAAAGTAAATGATCATGGTTATGGTTATGTATGAATCATCAACCAGAATATATAGAATACTTACAATATAAACAGGCAAAAGAATAGAGAAAAGATTGATTATTAAAGTTTCAAAATCAATATTATTGGAAGATACATAGTCTAATGCATCATGTGTGGAATATTTCCGTTAGGGCTGATTTTCATTTTCCTAAACATTTACTCTGCTAGATAATTGAACTTACCTTGCTCAGGTATTTTTTCTGAAGTTTCAGTGCTTCAGTACATGCTTTTTTAGCATCAAGATTTGAGGTTATGTCACCCAAGATCTGAAGAAATAGTTTTATGTCAGATTCATGCAGAAACATAAGCAAGAGCATACTCCTTCTGGACTCAAATATAAGCACACAAAAAATAAAAAATCTTATGAATGGTGTATCAAAATATAAGCAAATCTTAACAAGTTTTATCCCATTTAATGATATCATCTCCAAAATATCCTTCATTAGTTGATTGATATGATGCACAGATACGATACGCGTATCGTATCCGATACGGCGATACGCTTATTTTAAGATATTTAAGATACGATACTTGTAAGATACGTGTCGTCATATATATCAATGTTCATACAACATAATAATTGTGTACTTGTAATTTTGATCAACATTCATAAACATTAAATATATAATTGCTATTTTGCAAATCCAAATTAAAAACATACTTATTGTACATTACTAAAAATAATTATAAACCATTTTATCATAAATTATTTTTTATTATTTACAAATAGAAATAATATTACCAATTTCATTCCTTTCTTAAAATTATCTATGTAGAAGTAGAAGACAATTTTCATTTACAGTTTATCAAGGACCAATATTTCTATGTTTCTATATTAAAAATGCTTATATATCTTATTTAGTTGTAATGAATATTTCATAATTTTTCAAAAATTTGAATACTTTATCGATACGTATCACCATCTGAGAGTATCGAGATTGAATAAAATTTTCATAATATTTTCAAAAGTTAGGATACTTCATTGACACGTATCGGTGAAGTATCCAAGAGTATCGTGTCGGATACGTATCGGATACGGATACGTGAAGCAAATTGAAGTATCGGTGCTTCATAGGTTGTTTCTATTTCCAATGGAATTTTTTGTTTCTTGATATCAAGTTCCAATGTAGGGTATTAGAGGAAAAAGTTTATTTCTAATAGAGGTTAGTAAAATTAATTGATGTTGACTAACTTTCTTAATTAACACATAAAGTAGTTAATTTTACTTATATTTGAATTCAAAGGAATACATATATATGCATCCATAAGGGGGATGGAATGAGAGAGGGATACCTTAACAACATCGTCCACACCCTTGGCCTCGTTTAAAATCCGCCTATTCTTGATCTCAAGAACACTTGCAACAAGAAAAACAGACAGTGCACTAGTTTCCTCTCTATGCCCAGTCTTCACATTTTTTCTCTCAAATTTTCCATATTGCTTTAAAAGTTTGTCATTTGGAGGTGAGGGGCCTTTTGCTTTATCTGGATCCTCATATTTTTGGAAGATGTTTGGGTTGTATTCCATGGCCCACATCAACTGGAAACAATCTATATTATGTCTTAAAATGAGCTATTAATGCGAAATACTCTATCTCATCATGAAATGTTAGGAATCAAAAAATGGTAGCTCCTCAACTTTTAAATATGCATTTCTTGAGAAAATTTATATCGTCGTAGCCTCGTAGGAATCATCCTTACCTCCCAAAGATACAAGGTATCTGCAAAAGAAAATTCTCTTCGGAAAAGAACCATAAGCATGCGAAATGCAAAGAGATATTCTCCTCCATCTAAATCCTCTGCAAAATATAAAGTGATCAAGTTGAAAGGGTTGCTTTCTAGGTTCTTTCACATTGACATAGGCAAGCTATCATGCAATGTCTCCCTTAAAGAGAGGTCCCCTTAACTACTATAGACAGTGAATTATTCTGGTTGATAGAATAGAAGAATCTTGATAATATTAGAAGCTTTCCAATCAAGTTTTTACGTACCGAGGTGATGGTGAAGCTTGGGATCAACTGTTTTTATTATCTGTGAGAGTACACCCAACTGAGATTGGACCCCCATTGAACTTTCATTGCACCTGAAGTTCTCTCTCTATTATGGAAACAAAAGCATGAATGTAAATACACCAGAAAAGAACAATTCATTTAGATCACACGCTTTTTATCTTTAAATGAAAACAAATTTAACAGCAACAGATAGAATAGGTCTAAATGCTATCTAAATGAATCAGAAGTACTTTATTTGAACTCACTACAGTAATATGTTTAACTGTCGCATGTTGATTTTGCATACTTGAGAAAGGACTGGGCACCAAGAAAATAACAAGAGGAATGCTTAGGACATTGTTTCTAATACTTTATTATTGACTGAAATTTATTGAAAATTATAAATTTTGATAGGTCTCATGTCTCATTTAACAAGTCCTTTTCCTAATTTGGCGGTGAAACCACCAAAATTTGTGATCTCCAATAAATTTCAACCAATAATAAAGAGTGTTGCTAACATTCCTCAAATAAAAAAATGAGCCACTACTTTTTCTTGAGGATTCAATTTCAATCCCAACAGTTGAGTCTGTTCCAGGACTTCGTCATGCAGTTTTTGGTGCAACAATATTTCATCAAGTGCGGAAAACATGAATATAAAACGAACAGAACATGAAAAAAGTTAGAGAAATTCCTATCCATGTCTTTTCTAGTCTCTAGTCTCAACAACTGTAACTAAAAGTACCAAGAGGATAGCATCACTGAAATTGACATGAATAAAAGTAGCAAAATCAAAGTAGATTGAAGTTTGTACATATCAATTATCCAACCAAGAAACATGTAGAACTAGCACTTTTAGACAAGTTTGTTGTTGCATTATGTATGGCTTACCATCCTTCGCATTGCACGGTCAAAGCACCAGTAGCAATCTGCTTCATTCTCAATAAGCATAATCAAAGGTGAACAAATATCATTCATTCCTGCAAAGAAAACAACCCCTTAAGAATGTCTCCAACATCTTGAAGCTTTTTCAGTTCAACATTTAAAAATTGAGAGGTATAATGTGAGTGAACTGTAAAGAGAGCAGTTGCAAAACTGACTCTCGGGTGGTTAGTTTGTTATAGGTGTATTTGTCCTATAAATAAGTGGCTTTGCTCCACTAGATCAATATCAAGAATCAGTTACAATTTCATAAAGACTTTTCTGTTTCTCTTCTCTCTCTCTGTTTTTCTATATGGTATCCAGAGCGTGACGATCTCAATGGCCGATTTATCTCTCAATCTCTCTTCCTCTGCGTCAATCACTTTCGCGCACACGATCTCAACGAAACTAGATGAAATGAATTTTCTGATCTGGCGTCAACAAATCGAACCGGTTATCAAAGCTCATCGTCTTCAACATTTTGTGGTGTGTCCGAAAATTCCTTTGCGATTCTTAAACGAATCTGATCGAAATGAAGGAAGAATCAATCCAGAATATACAGCTTGGGAGCAACAAGATCAAATGCTTATGTCGTGGTTGCAATCGTCTTTGTCTCCTGCAATTCTCTCGCGAGTATTAGGAAGTGTTCATTCCTATCAAGTTTGGGATAAAATCCATGACTATTTTCACAAACAAACTCGAGCTAGGGCTCGACAGTTACGAACAGAGTTGCGATCTACTTTGCTTGAAGAAAAGACTATGGAAGAATTTCTTCTTCGCATTAAAGCCTTGGTTGATGCTCTTGCATCTGTTGGAGAATCAGTTTCACAACAAGAACATGTCGATGTGATTCTTGAAGGTTTATCGCAAGATTATAGTTCAATCATATCTGTTATTGAAAGCAAATTCGATACTCCTTCAATTGAAGAAGTGGAAGCGTTGCTGTTAGCACATGAAATGCGCACTCAAAAATACAAAAAGAAACTCCTATCTGAATCAGCTGCAGTCAATCTCACACAAGTCCCTAATTCGAACCCTAATTTTCAGGAAAATGGTAGTGTTGACAATCAGGTTAGTCATTCTTCACAAGGTGTTGATGTAAATATGAATGGTGGCAGAAATGCGTATCGCGGCCGTGGTGGTCGTCGTGGTCGTGGCCGTAGTGGACGATATTCAGGCGTTCAGTGTCAAGTGTGCTGTAAGATTGGTCATATTGCAGCAAATTGCTATCATCGTTTTGACCAAAACTATCAACCTTTCTTTACCTACAATTTTCAAGGCAATTTTTCTCAGAATCGTGAAAACTCATTTAGTGGAAATGTTGGACAACAGAGTTATGTCAATCAACCACAACAATTTTTTTCGCACAATGGATCCAATAATCAATGGACTCAGAACAACAGGCCAACTTCTAGTCAATGGAATCCGAACACCAAATCAACTTCTCAGCAACCAAGTGCTATGGTAACCAACATGAACACTGCTCCAAATCCTACAAATTGGTTTCCAGATTTTGGTGCATCTTTTCATGTGACAGGAGATCAACAAAATATTCATCAGATCAGTCCCTTTGAAGGTCCTGACCAAATTTTCATTGGCAATGGTCAAGGTTTGCCTATCCACTCCTCTGGTTCTTCATTCTTTTTATCTCAACATAATCCAAAAGTTTCTTTAGCCTTACATAATCTGCTGCATGTTCCTAATATTACCAAAAACTTAATCAGTGTTAGTAAATTTGCCAAGGATAACTCTGTCTTTTTTGAATTCCATTCTACTCACTGTCTTGTTAAATCTCAGGCTACCAATGAAGTTTTGATACATGGCAGAGTGGGTCCTGATGGTCTCTATTGCTTTCCCAGTCTTCACCTTCAAGCTACTCCAAGCACTTCTGTCACCTGTTTAGTGTCAAATGTTTCTAATGATGTAAATACTGATGTTGATATCTTGAATAATTCTAGAACTAGTTCTCAGGCCTTATG